TTCTCGGGCTACGCCCCGTCCGTCCACGCCGTAGGAGCGTGCTGCGCCGTACCCGGAGCGAACTATCGCCGTTTCGCGGAAGGATATTACGACCTGCTGTGGACTGTGAAGTGTGGACAGCCAGCGGCTGGGGTCGATCGATTTACCGATGGTTCACTGCTCACATGAAGTCCCCACCATCGTCGGCGTCGATCGTGGCAGTGGTGGCGCTCTGGCGGCGATGGCTGCGACAGCAGCGCTGTTTGCCGTTCCCGGGTCGTTCCCGCGCCGCGTAGGAACGCCCTGAGGTCCCTCATCAAAACACCTCTCCCCGGCCCACCGCCCAGCCCCGGTCGGTCACGTGGTTCGACTGTAGGGTGCCGATGGCGGTCACGTGGTGTCCCCGAGTGTGGCCGCTGACCTGATCATCTCGCCTGAGGCGATGGTCCGGCGACGCTGGGGATCGGGCGAGTGGGCGGCCTGCTGTGGCTGCCCCGTCCCCAGGGCTCGCCAGTATTGTGCGGCAATGGATCTCCTTAGAGCCGCCCGCTCGGACATCGGGGACCATCCCTGGGGGTTATTCTGAATGAGATAATGGTATGGGTAACCTCATCACACATTATATTATTATACAGATGGACTGCTGAGAATCGCTGTCTGACCTGCAATTGAGGCCACCGTCACAGTGGCGCAGCCAGGGGGGGTCAGAGGGTCAGCTGACCCCCCCCGAAATTTCTGTCAGGGGCCCGATCGAGAGAGAGAGAGAGAGAGAGAGAGAGAGAGAGAGAGAGAGAGAGAGAGAGAGAGAGAGAGAGGAGAGAGAGAGAGAGAGAGAGAGAGAGAGAGAGAGAGAGAGAGAGAGAGAGAGAGAGAGAGACCTTGGATGGGTCCGGGCCCCCGGGTGGATAGGGCCCGGGCCCCGGTGGATGGGGCCCGGGCCCCCCGTTGGATGGGTCCGGGCCCCCTGGGTGGATGGGGCCCGGGGCCCCGGGTGGATGGGGCCCGGGCCCCCGGGAGAACGGGGCCCGGTCTCGGAGCCCAGGTGGACGTGGCCCGGGCCCCCGTGGGGATAGGGCCCGGGCCCTCGGGTGAATGAGGCCCGGGCCCCCGGGTGGATGGGGCCGTGTCCCCGGGAGAACGGGGCCCGGGCCCCGGGTGGATGGGGTCTGGCCCCGGGTGGACGGGGCCCGGGCCCCGGGTGGATTGGACCCGGGCTCCCGGGAGAACGGGGCCCGGGCCCCTGGTGGACGGGCCCCGGAGCCCCGGGTGGACGGGGCCCGGGCCCCGGGTGGATAGGGTCGGGGCCCGGGTGGACGGGGCCCGGACCCCCGGGTGGATTGGACCCGGGCCCCCGGGAGAACGGGACCCGGGACCCTGGTGGACGGCCACGGAGCCCCGGGTGGACGGAGCCCGGGTCCTCGGGTGAACGGGGCCCAGGCCCTCGGGTGAACGGGGCCCGGGCCCTCTGATGGACGGGCCCCGGGCCCTCTGATGGACGGGCCCCGGAGCCCCGGGTGGACGGGGCCCGGAGTCCCGGGTGGACGGAGCCCGGGCCCTCGTGTGGACGGGGACCAGCCCCCTGTGGATGGGGCCCGGGCCCCCCGGGTGGATGAGGCCAGCTAGGGTGACCCGCTTGCTCCGCAACGCGAATAAGGGATATTTTCGATCAGTGGGCGTTTGGTTGGTCTTGTGTCCGTGGGTCATTTATACATTTCGGTCGGTTGTCTTTTGACGGCTAAACATTTTGGTTTGGGAAAAAACATCCATCGCATCGAGGTGCTCGTGTCTGATAACCATACGTCTACTATAGAACTTGCCAAGTGTATTTTATAGCATAGGTTGACGTAGGTCATTGAAAAATGAGAACCATAGATGAATTGCCATGTAGAGGTTTGAAAAATTTATATTTTTAAGAATACTATTGCTCATCTTGCAAAAGCGATGATTGGATCTTGGACAAAATTGAATGCTCTTTCCAACGATGCCATTTTTAATTGTCAAACGTATCAGGTTATGCAGCAAAAGTCGTGTAATTAAGTAAGTCATGAACAAATACCATTTTCTCCAGCGATTTGTTCCACATTGTTTTTGATCAATTATCTTTTCACAAATTTTCCTAGAGAGGCGGTACATTTCTCTTGCCAACAGGCGTTGTTTGAACCCGCTCCGTCTGACAGTCACCCGAAAATAGCATTAAGTCCAAAATCCGTCTCAAACGTCAATTTTTCAAGCATAAGTGCCCTCACGGGCGCACGTGGCGCGTGTCATCCCTGCACCGCTCACCATTCGATAGCCCGTTCGATCCTCATATACGATACTGTGTTCCCCATGCCGATCGGACCCAGGTTACCGAGATACTGCACAGGGACCGAACCCGTGTCGGGCAAATTTAGCCATTTTCGCCCAATTTTGCAAGCCGATTTATACATGTAAATTCTATGACGCGAATTTGCACTTTTTGAGCACGCGCCATGTGCTCACCACCGGCCCGATCGAGCTGAGATTCCTCACAGGCACGTTCCCCAATCCCCATCCTTGTTCTATAAGTTGCGCAAAGTTCAGCGCATTATGTAGGTGCAACGGTCTGGCCTGTACCTACCCAGGGATAAGTAACACAATGCCGGGACCACGGTGACAGACAGAATCCACGTCACCACATCACCACACCACAACAAACCTGGCCCAAGGCAATACATGACCCATGTGAGCGCGTTAACCCTCGCCGGCTCAGGCCATTTTGCGTCCTTCGACGGCACAAGGGAGGGAGGGTACGACCCCCTTCCTCGCGTTTGGCCCATGATCGAGCTAGAGCTTCGCGGAAAAAAACGAGCGTGTTGCCCGTGACGAGAGGAAGCCGATAATACCCAATTCCAAGGTCCTAGGTCATTGGTTGACCTTCCAGGTCAGGTCAATGACCCAAATGTCGGGAAAATCGGGACCTGTTAGAACGTCATAAAATGTGGCTGCTATAGGTTTTTTTGTCGGGGTGCTGATCACGAACATGTATTATGTTAGTTTTGATGACAGATGATGTCTTTATGCATTTAGGCCAGGTCGGGTCAGGTCAGGTCATGTCAACCAGTAGGGGTCCTGCCGGGTATTCGTAGTACCTACCTACGTGTCAACCGTCTCTGACAGCTGCGTAATATGTTACGAAGGCACCAAAACTACTTCTTAAATGTTCAAATGGTTGCTAAAATCGAATTCAGCTTAAAAAAAACTAGCCTAGAAACATGCATTGCTTGAAAAAGTGTACCGAGGTCATCATAAGTCAATGACCTGACCTGACCTGACCTGACCTGACCTTCAGGTGACATTGACATTAGTGATGTCAATTACGGAAAATCGGAATACCGATACCAAACCAAATACCAACCAAAACCACGGGAAAATACCGAAACCAAACCAACTTGGGAAAATGAGGGAAATACCAACTTTTTTACCGATTTCTTAGTCTCATATACATTAGTGAGGGTTTATGATACCAACAAAATACCAAACACATTACGATTGAAATACCAAATACCAAGTTGGTATCGGTTTGGTATCGGTATACCAAAAAGTTGGTATCCGATTGACATCTCTAATTGACATCACCCTTATGCATGGGAGCAACATCAAATCACATGTTTGAACGCTTGAAACCACGAAAGGACTGCAAAAGCGCGGCTAATGCGAACCGGCATACGCCGAACCGCGATTCTGGCCAAACATGGTCTCGGAAAGTAGGTCAAAGGTCATTTGGGTCAGGGTCATGAAATATTTAGGGTAGGTAGGTGTACAATTGATCAACGCGAGGGTGCTGAAAGTTACGTCGCGATCAGCTGCTTTTTACGCGAGTTATTCGCGAAAAAAAAACCTTAGGGGGTGCATCAACCCCTCCCCCCTGTGCCGGCGAGGGTTAAAACTTTTTGTGAGCGAATTCACGTAATGAAGAATAATAATGGCATAATCTACATACTACCTACAGCAGCCAATAGATGGCTTAGGACAGGCATATGAGCCTACTTAAATCTTGTCCGACAGAATCAGGCAACAGTTCCGATTGCATATATGCTATGCATATTGCGGAAGGGGCACTTTTCGGCCTCCAAAGATACGAGTTCATACGTCATAGTAACATATTTCTGTTGTGGTCAATTTGCGTAAAAATTGAACACCGGGTGATTACCGAGCTATTGTTCTATCCAAATTTTCTGATTCATACTCGCTCAGGGTTATCGTGCAGGTAAAGTGGGCCCGCTCAGCAGAATGTGTATGAAATATGGAGAGATTCTGAAAAATGAGTGGGGGGCCCGCACACTAGGGGGCCCGCTTTGGGGGCGATGACCCCCCCGAAACGAAATCCTGGCTGCGCCACTGACCGTCAATTATTTTGGTTAAGCTAAAATGCGCTACTATAATTTTGCCAAAAACTTTCCGTCCTGCAGAATCCAGCGAACGATGCCGTGGAACAGCTAATGCAGCGCCTATAGAGCACCGGACCGACACGATATGAGGACAGTAGAGCTGTCACTGGTCAGCGATCCGAGACCAGAGGACAGGGGTCACGGAAAATCCATGGTCCAAGCTGTCCGGCTGTCACCAAGTCACGGAGCGTGTTGTGTTGGCGTCTGGCCAGCTCAACCGTGAAGCTCGCCGCTGTGCACGGAACCAACCCTTCCGGGTTCTTCAGCCCTGAGTGTGTTCCCCGTGTTAGCCGGTCAGATCTGGTCACACTGGTTTGGTCCGGTCTGAGACGGGCTGCAGGCAGTACGAATAAATCAAGGGAAGGCGAGGGTGGTAAAAGATGGCGGGAGGGCTGAAGGCATAAGAACCATGCATGGGATTGACGAGGATTTGAGACTCCAGACTACTATGACTTGCGATGTAACTGACGAGACTAAGATGACATTGCAACTATTTGTTTCCGATAGCAATAACGTACCTGAATGGCCAGTTCATTTAATTAAATGATTCGTTTTCTGGCTGATGTTTGTTTGCTTAAACGGTGCTAACGCTATTTTTGTTTTTGTTTTCAGGAACTACCTGAACTTCATCATTGAAGAGCTGAAGGATCCTGTCCGGTAAGCTTCGTTCGAGAACACTGCATGTTTCGTGCCTATTGCTTGCGATAGTGTCTAATACTTAGGTATTTCATTAAACATTCATCAGTCCCAAGAAAATGTCGGGACAAAACCGTTCGCACTTTATTTGGAGGAACTGCTTATGCATTCTTTCCTTCGTAAATAAACCTGTTGAACGGGGCACTAACTGAAGAAGTAACGCGATCAATCATTACTTGTTTGAAGCGCAAATGTCTAATGAAATTAATTGTCTTCGTCTGAACGTCTTCGCGCATTAGTCTGACCTCCGTTTCTCTCCACCGTCAGTAACCTGCCGCGCGCCATCGCCATCTCCATCATCTTGGTGACGCTGGTGTACGTGCTGACCAACATCGCCTTCTACACCACCCTCAGCCCCATGGAGGTGCTCTCCTCCAACGCTGTCGCCGTGGTGAGTGCCCTCGCCTTTCACGGTTCTTCATATTAAAGGTAGTGTGCCACCTTTGAAAGATTTCCCATTTTATTTTTCCTAGGATAAGAAGCTTCTGTTTTTACCTAATATCGCAAAAAAAAATCAAAAATGGGCCTGGAATAGTGCCTTTTTCGCCTAAAAGTTTTTCGGTTTTTAGATATGTATAACAACTGTAGTGGGCTCACCTGCAAACAGGCGTCGGGCAACAATCGCGAATGCGGCGCACTTGTGACAATAAGCAAAGGTCATTATAGTGTTACTACCATACGACGTACGGGAATGAGTTATCAGCTGTCTAATCGTAGACAACACAATGTCGAGCCTTAAACTGTAAGCCCGTATTGGTATTGTTTCTTTTATTTGGCTGTCGAACATTATTTATGGTTTGAAATATGATTTTATGTAAAATAATTGATATGAAAAAGCCGTCTTATAAGTTATGACCCCATTTCACCACGCGTATTTGGAATTTCCGACCTCGACGAACGTCTGTGGTAGAAAACCACCACTTTGGTAGGGGAAACTACTGCTGTCTGCTACCGTTTGCACTGCATGTCTCGCTGTAGTTGCGACCGATTGCGACATCTATGCTTAGCGATATACGTACTTTATAATTTACGTACTTTTTCGATGCGTATTTTCTTCCTTGACGTAGCTACTTTTGTCTAGGTATACGTACTTTGTACTGTACAGTCTGTCTTAAAAGTACCGCGCAAAGTGACGGTGGATCCATCAAGCCTGACTGAGGTAGGGCCAGCTATAATTTGAAAGTCAACGAACCAATTGACCTAGGGAATGGACGAGGATGCGAATTGCTTCAGTGACTTAAATTTAGTAGGCCCTTCCTCGGGCAGGCATGATGGATCCACCGTCACTTTGCGCGGTACTTTTAAGACAGACTGTACAGTCTGTCTTAGAAGTACCGCGCAAAGTGACGGTGGATCCATCAAGCCTGACCGAGGAAGGGCCTGCTATAATTTGAAAGTCACCGAACCAATGGAGCTGGGGAATGGACGAGGATGTCCATTGCTTCGGTGACTCCAATTTGGCAGTCCTTCATCGGTCAGACTTGATGGATCCACCGTCACTTTGCGCGGTACTTTTAAGACAGACTGTACGTACCTACCTCTGCGTAACCTACGCCTACTTCCGTCCTTGACGTACTTATTCCATACGTACTTTATACTCGACGTACTTTTGCGATACGTACTTTTGCCCTTGACGTACTCTTGTCCATACGTACTTTATGCTGTACGCACTTTTACGATATGTGCTTTTGTCCTTGACGTACCTTTGTCCATGCGTACTTATAAATGCACCTATACGTACTTCTTCGATACGTACTTTTGTCCTTGACGTACTTTTATCCATTCGTGCTTTATACTGTACGTACTTTTGACATGCGTACTTTTGTCCTTGACGTAGTTTTGTCCATGCGTACTTTATACTGTATGTAATATGTACGAACATTTGCGATACGTACTTTTGTCCTACGTGCCAGGGGCGTCGCCACAGATTTTCGACAGGGGGGACGGATCGGCCGACTAAAAACCCAAAATTAGGTATCGTTACCGTACTTTTTCAGGCCGATGCACTATCTGTTCAACGATACTGGGCTGAATTCCTACGCGGTACGCGTCTGAAGTATTCATTTTTTACACGGGTATACAGAGCCTCCGGTCTTCTATCAGGGTATAATTGTTGGCACATGCCGTCAATCTGATAGTTAACTGTTAATGTATACATCCCTAGTAGCACACAACATTGATACAACATCGAGATATGTTGAAATCAGGTTGATTGTCAATATTGGTGCTTCAACACGAATTCAACATTGATTCAACGTTGATATCACGTTGATATTAGGTTGTGCTTTGTCGAATCTTAGTTGAAGTTCAACATTGTAGTTCAACATCGATACGACATTGTCCCAATGTTGAGTTCACAATATCGACAGAGGTAAAATTTCAACATTGTGATTCAACATTGATAGGGGAAGGTGGGGTAAGACGGACCAGCTAAGGTTTGAGGCCGCATATATTGCTACACTGCTCTCGTAATTCATATTATTTATAGTCTTCGGAATGCTCAATCCTTCCTCTGTTGATATGTGTAAAGACTAAATTTCAAATTAAAGACATCTAGGTGGTGGATGCTGTTAAAGAGGGACATGTCAAAAACTCAGACAAGAAAAAACGTGGGGTAAGACGGACCACCCAGCAGTGCCTGCTATCCGTTCATGTGTGTTACACTTCTGCTCTGTATTCTTGTAAGAAAAAGTAACCAGAATGGTAAAATAACAAAATGAGCCATTATTCTTTACTCATGTGTGATGGAAGTGCAGCTAAAAGCTAGGAACATATGTGTTGATTGTCGTTTGGCATGAATGCATGCTAACTGAGCACTTGCATGCATGGCTCACATGCAACAAAGACTTCTTCCTGAAAAAATAGCTTACTTAAACTTGTGTCAATGTTTTGGAAAAGAACTTTCCATATGCAGGGTACAATGGACCACCACAGGGTAAGATGGACCACAGTGGTCCGTCTTGCCCCGAATCTAAATTATGTCATTATCATGACGTATATGTCAAATAGCCCAACATTGCAAAACCTTGCCTTTCCTAAAGTGTGACTATAACTAAGTTTATAACTTTGTTCTTCACAGTTAAGTGCAAAATAGAAACTAATCATGCAAGAAAGGCGCCGTAATTGAATCACCCGTAGACCTCTTATATTAGATCGGTTTGACGAAAAACAACATTTTTCTCAATAACTCAAAAGCTATGCATCCTAGCAGCATGAGCTCAAGGTGGCCATTGTTACGAAGGAAAACAAACATAGTGAGTGCATAAAGCAGTAGATACCAGCAGCGGTTCAGCCGGGAGGGCTGGTGGTCCGTCTTGCCCCGCTGGGCCGTCTTACCCCACCTTCCCCTACCTACCTACAACATTATTGTCACGATGTTGATTTCACAATATTGATAAAAGTAGAGTTCCAACATTGTAATCCAACACGTATGATATCATACGTGGTGACTGGTGGTTGCTTTAGGTATTTGTCACAACTCTGAACTCATAATCTCTTTTGGTCTCCAGTATGAATGGGCGGCGCGGGTCGGCGCGAAGCGCCGCGAGATTTTCGTCGAGGTCGGAAATGTATATGCATAGATGTCGCTACAATAGCTTGACATGCAGTGCAAATTGTAGCAGACAGCAGTAGTTTCCCCTACCAAAGTGGTGGTTTTCTACCACAGACGCTCGTCGAGGTCGGAAATTCCAAATACGCTTTCACCACACGCAAGTGGCAGAAATGACAATGATCAGCTGACGCATTTTTCTTGGCCGAAGTCAGAGCGCGCGGCCCGACGCACCACGCGTATTTGGAAATTCCGACCTCGACGAGCATCAGAAGCCACCTAACAGGCGTGTTCGAAACCGCAGGAGATGATGATGAACGGGTTTATCGAAACTTGATTGGATGAGCATATCGGTAATAGCGATTTCAGTGTGTGCATTTATTGTTCATAGTGGTGTGAAATGTGGTTGGGGTACGACCGACAACCCGTCGGGGCGAATTTCGCACTGGGGTACTCAAAATTTGAAGAATTTAAGACGTTTCCATGAGTTTTGAAGGTATGGATAAGTTCTAAAAATCCGGTTCTCCTTATCTGGGCCATTAACTCCATACGGTCCAAGAAAGCTGGCACACTACCTTTAACTAACTACCCATGCTGAGCCGTTATATTATCATATTACTTACCTACACCTGTACCTTACCTTACCTTACCTTACCTGTACCTATGCTGAGCCGCTGTCATGACTTGAGTGTATAGGTACCAGAGGTAGATGCCATCGTAAGAATAAATTTCTTTGAGGGTTTCCTCTTGCTCTGGAAACTTTTTAGAGGATTTTTGTGTGAGTTTTTGCGCAGCTAAGTGATTTATTAAGCCGGCCCCTGGCTCTCTTCTCCTAACTCAGACGGGGGATTTTTTGTAACCTCTGGCGACTGCTGCATTGGCAGCGACTCAGCGTCGAATGCGCCGTACCCGGTCGGGTTTTGTCCGGACCTTGTGACCCCTGATGACCTCACGTGACTCGGACGCGGCGGGTGACGGACGTTGTGGCCCACCCTGGCCCCCCGCCAGGACAACTGAATTGTGCTTGCTGGTGTATCACCATGATGCAGATCAGCTCGGTCGGTTTTAGTAGAGCCTCTGGGTGCGTCATCGTGTTGATCTGTCGGTGCCAGGTCGCTGGCTGTCAGAGGTCGTGTCAGGGACTGTTGGGTCGTAGACGACTTAGGTGTTTGGTACAAACGAAACAGAAGGTCAGGTTTAGTGCAAGCAGATTTGTATTGGCTGGTTCTTCTTATATTTTGGTCCAAAACGTCCCTATTTTTGCCATAATGCGCGGTACTCGACCTCTGACATTCATTTAGATACACACAGCACCTTTTTTAGTTTTGTTTTTATTTCTGGCTCATTTTCCCGTCCTAGCTGTGAGAGCTGCCCCATGGATTTCCAAACTTCAATCGCTGCCACCGTTAGGCCATTATCGACGTCAGCCCAGTGATCGATGGACGGCTGAAGACGTGCATCACGAATCCCGCTTTCCATTCAACGTCACCAGATAGTCAGGTAGTATCCTATGCCGTAATTTGGGATGCTCAGTCAGGGATCTGTGGGTAAATCAATTTCTATTGGCTTACGTGGCTGACGCATCAACTACTTGCATGAATGGATCATCACATTTATAAATGGACCATCCTATTAAACGTACCCCTTTTGCACAAGAATCCTTTGTCAGGAATTCAGACGATAATAATATCGTTTGATAAATGACAAACATATTTTCACTACCTACCATAAAACCATTTACACCACCCGAGCCCACCCTGCCCACCCGTTGCCTTCTGACCTGGGCTGGGCATTGTTCGGACCCAGCACCCCACCATGTGGCCCATACAACCGAGTGAAGA